ACTTTCGGTGGACCGGATCAAATGCACGTTTATCTGCATAGACGCTCGTCCGTGTCCCACACCTATTCCATGGGCCCGCTGGCGGCCCGGGGTTGGTGGTGGTGGGTGGGGGGGACCCAGCAGGGCACTGGCTTGCGTGTTCCCCCACCCCACCCCCTGCTGGGGTTCTCGCGTCCAGGAGGGTCAGGACTGAGCTCTAGCCTTCTGCCTGGCCTGATGGTGAGCTCATCTCCCCTCCCCCAACCAGCAGTTACTGGGCTCGTAGTTAATTAGAACCTCCGGATAGCCATTCCGACCGCACCACCCACGCTTTCTCCTCTTCTTCCCAGGTGATGCTAGCGAGGAGGACCACCCCCAAGTCTGTGCCAAGTGCTGCGCACAATTCACTAACCCGACTGAATTCCTCGCTCACCAGAATGCATGTTCTACTGAACCCCCTGTAATGGTGATCATCGGAGGCCAGGAGAACCCCAACAACTCTTCTGAACCCCGGCCTGAGGGCCACAATAGTCCCCAGGTCATGGAGGTGGAGCACAGCAACCCCCCGGATCCTGGGTCCTCTGTGCCCACAGATCCCACCTGGGGGGCAGAGCGGAGAGGAGAGGAGTCTGCAGGGCATTTCCTAGTCGCTGGCACAGGTACAGCAGCGGGGGGAGGAGGAGGCCTGATCCTGGCCAGTCCCAAGCTGGGAGCAACCCCATTACCTCCAGAGTCCACCCCTGCGCCACCTCCTCCGCCTCCACCGCCCCCACCGCAGCCTCCAGGCGTGGGCAGTGGCCACTTGAACATCCCTCTGATCCTGGAGGAGCTGCGAGTGCTGCAGCAGCGCCAGATCCACCAGATGCAAATGACCGAGCAGATCTGCAGGCAGGTACTCCTGCTCGGCTCCCTGGGCCAGACGGTGGGCGCCCCTGGCAGTCCCTCAGAGTTACCTGGGACAGGGACTGCCACCTCCACCAAGCCCCTGCTTCCACTCTTCAGCCCCATCAAGCCTGTCCAAACTAGCAAGACGCTGGCATCTTCCTCCTCCACCTCCTCCTCCTCTGGGGCAGAAACGCCCAAACAGGCTTTCTTCCACCTTTACCATCCGCTGGGGTCACAGCACCCTTTTTCTGCTGGAGGGGTTGGGCGAAGCCACAAACCCCCACCTGCCCCTTCCCCGGCCCTGCCAGGCAGCACAGATCAGCTGATTGCCTCGCCTCATCTGGCATTCCCAGGCACCACGGGATTACTGGCAGCACAGTGTCTTGGGGCAGCCCGAGGCCTGGAGGCCACCGCCTCCCCAGGGCTCCTGAAGCCAAAGAACGGAAGTGGTGAGCTGGGCTATGGGGAAGTGATGGGTCCCTTGGAGAAGCCTGGTGGACGGCACAAATGCCGCTTTTGTGCCAAAGTATTTGGCAGTGACAGCGCCCTGCAGATCCACCTGCGCTCACACACAGGTGAGAGGCCCTATAAGTGTAATGTCTGTGGCAACCGCTTTACCACCCGGGGCAACCTCAAAGTGCATTTTCACCGGCATCGTGAGAAGTACCCGCATGTGCAGATGAACCCTCACCCAGTGCCAGAGCACCTAGACTACGTCATCACCAGCAGCGGCCTGCCCTACGGTATGTCTGTGCCACCAGAGAAGGCCGAGGAGGAGGCAGCCGTGCCAGGTGGAGGTGTGGAACGCAAGCCTCTGGTGGCCTCTACCACAGCACTCAGTGCCACGGAGAGCCTGACGCTGCTCTCCACCGGAGCGGGCACAGCTGCGGCTCCTGCGCTCCCTGCTTTCAATAAGTTTGTGCTCATGAAAGCGGTAGAGCCAAAGAGTAAAGCTGATGAGAATACTCCTCCAGGGACTGAGGCCTCCGCCCTTGCAGGGGTGACAGAAAGTGGCACAGCAACTCGCATGCAGCTAAGTAAGTTGGTGACTTCACTTCCCAGCTGGGCACTGCTTACCAACCACTTTAAGTCCACGGGGAGCTTCCCCTTCCCCTATGTGCTCGAGCCCTTGGGGGCCTCCCCCTCTGAGACATCGAAGCTGCAGCAACTGGTAGAAAAGATTGACCGACAGGGAGCCGTAGCAGTGGCTTCTACCGCCGCAGGAGCCGCCACCACCTCTGCCCCTGCAGCTTCATCTTCAGCTTCATCCGGACCGAACCAGTGCGTCATCTGCCTCCGGGTGCTGAGCTGTCCTCGAGCGCTGCGCCTGCATTATGGTCAACATGGAGGTGAGCGGCCCTTCAAATGCAAAGTGTGTGGCAGAGCTTTTTCCACCCGGGGCAATCTGCGTGCACATTTCGTGGGCCACAAGGCCAGCCCAGCTGCTCGGGCCCAGAATTCCTGCCCCATCTGCCAGAAGAAGTTCACCAATGCAGTTTCTCTGCAGCAGCACGTTCGGATGCACCTGGGGGGCCAGATCCCCAATGGTAGCAACCCGCTCCCTGAAGGTGGGGGAGCTGCCCAAGAGAATGGCTCTGAGCAATCTACAGTCTCTGGGGCAGGGAGCTTCCCCCAGCAACCATCTCAGCAGCCATCTCCAGAAGAGGAGTTGTCTGAAGAGGAGGAAGAGGACGAGGAAGAAGAGGAAGATGTGACTGATGAAGATTCTCTGGCAGGAAGAGGCTCAGAGAGTGGAGGTGAGAAAGCAATATCAGTGCGAGGTGATTCTGAAGAGGCATCTGGAGCAGAGGAGGAAGTGGGGATGGTGGTGGCAGCAGCCGCACCCGGAAAGGAGATGGACAGCAGTGAGAAAGCAATTCAACCTCCTTCGCTGCCACCGCCACCACCATCAGACAGCCTGGATCAAACACAGCCGAGGGAGCAGGGAGGCAGTGAGGTTGCAGAAGTCACCGAAGAGGGGGGCAAACCAGAGAGGAGCTCAAGCCCCAAGGCAGCACTCGCCCTCGAAGGGGAAGGCGGTAGCACCACCTTGGTGGAGGAGCTGAGCATGCAGGAAGTGATGAGAAAGGAGCCAGGAGAGAGCAGTAGCAGAAAGGCCTGTGAGGTGTGTGGCCAGACCTTTCCCACCCAGGCAGCCCTGGAGGAGCATCAGAAGACCCACCCCAAGGAGGGGCCACTCCTCACTTGTATTTTCTGCAGGCAGGGCTTTCTCGAGCGGGCTACCCTCAAGAAGCATATGCTGCTGGCTCACCACCAGGTACAGCCCTTTGCCCCTCATGGCCCTCAGAATATTGCTGCTCTTTCCTTGGTCCCAGGCTGTTCTCCCTCCATCACTTCCCCAGGGCTCTCCCCCTTTCCCAGAAAAGATGACCCTACAATCCCATGAGCCTTTTTTTTGTACCTGCTACCCTTTGACCTAGTTTGCAGAAACAGAGCTCTGTAGAAGGACCTCTAAGATTTAAGAGGTTTCATTTGTCTTTTTCTCTAATTTCTTACATAGTATGTCCCAAGTGGTTTTTCTCTAGTCCCCGAGCTTGGAAATCATGCTCACAGGAGAATGACCCCCCTGAGGAATTTTTCTTCTCCATTCATTGTACCTGAGGGAAATAGATTCTCTACAGCTTTCACATTCCCAAGGGAAACCCTTCCCAAGGGAAACCCTTCCCAGCTTCCCTGGGGTGACCCTTCTCCCCTCCCCTCTCTTCCACTCCTTTTCCCTTTGGCAGGTGCACCTGAGCACCCACGTTTGGAATTGCAGCCCAGCCCAAAGGGACCAGCAGCTGTCCCTGAAGGGCTCAGTGCCACTCCTCTCTGGTGACCAGGTCAACCTGCAGGGCTTCTTCTGCCAAGACATTCCTGCCCAGCTGGTGAGGGTGGGCCTCCTGTCTTTCTGGAACTAGAACATGGCTTTCCTGTCCAGTGACCTGCCCACCCAAGCCTGGGAGTTCCAAATCCACTTCCACTACCACTTCGGCACCACCAGTGCTATTTGGTCCAAGAGCTGTGGCTGGGGACATGCCTCTAGCAACAGGATTCAGAGAGGCTAAAGAGAAAAGAGTCCCCCTCTTCTTATTTCAGCCTCCTGCATCCAAGGCAGTGCCTGAACAGCTTATCATAGAAGAGAAGTAGCAAACTGTGCATTCCTTCCCCCTGCTCCAAAAGGTGCTAGCAATGAAGGTGCAGCAATATCTGTATCTGTGGCTCAGCCCTAGAGGGTAGGGAGAAATAAAGGGCATACTCTTGCCAGTAAGCTCCTTGATAATCTCATTAAGGCAAAGGTCGATATGCCAAGACATCTCCAGCTTCTCGTATTCCTTCATCATTGCCTCTCCAAGTTAGGAAACAAGTGAATTTCTTGCCAAGATGTCTCCCCTGGAATATTTTAGGAAATGTGAAGTTAGTTCATGTCTTTAATAAGCACTGTTGATGAGGATAGTTGAAGAAGTAATGGGGAGTTGAGGAGTGTTGCTCACTACAGGGCTTTATAGTGGGAACCTGTGTGATTAAGAAAGGGACATGATATAAGGGAGTGGACCTCGAATTCTTGATTGGATGGATCTCATGAATGTTCTTTTGGACTAATAGTGACTTAGTGTGCAGCAGTGCACCACGGATCATGGGAGAGTTCCTAGCACTAGTGTGCTTCTAGTTTTAGATTACTCCCTCCTTTATTCCTTGGCCCCTTGTATTTTCATCACCTTTCTCTCTCAAGGCCCATTTCCTCCCCATTTTGCCTGTCCATGGACTGGGGCTTATGTCTTTGCTACTATCTGGTTCTTAGAGTCCCAGACTTTGGGAGATGAGCTCCAGATGGTGTCCTCCCTGCCTCTCCGTCTTATAATGAGATGTAGTATTTACTCTTAACATAGGATCATTTGGAACAGTTCTGAGGAGGAGAAAGTGTTGGTTCTGCTAGTGACTGACTTGAATGATGGTTTCTCCTCTGAAGATGTAGGCTCCAGAGCTTCCTAACATAGAAAAATGTGAAGAGCAGACAAGGGAGATGTTAGTGTCTTTCCCTTTTCATTAAAGGTGTTTTAACCAAATATTTGTGTGTTTCTCCTTATTTCATGACTAAATAGCCAGCTGGGGTATGATATGGCATTTCCTAACATTGAGATTCCCTTCCCTGCCAAAAGCTGAGCATATGGTGCTAAAATATTTAATTTATGCAGCCTTGTCTTAAAGCAATCTCCAGTGAATGTAATTTCCCTGTGGAAGTGAACTTTGTGTTCTTAGAAGGTTCTGCAGGGGAGTTGCCCACTGTGTGCAGTCACTGTCGAGGTTTTCTCTTTGCCTAAAACCCTCTACCACCAGGCTTTTATGTTTCATTTTGTGGAGGTGTTTGTTTTCTTTAAAGGTTGGAAGCTGTTTATCAGTCTTTCCTGAACTCCAGGCCATCCTGGCTGACATCAATTAATTTGCAGAACCAAGATGAATTAATCTTTATGATCCTTTGGGTCAGATATTATAAACAGAAAGAAAAAGAAAAAATAATTCAACCCTAATAATTTCTACCAACAAGATAAAGGAGGATTCTTTTTTTTTTATTATTTCAGAGGAGAAGGGAGAGGGAGAGAAAATAGAAATATCAATGATGAGAGAGAATCATTGATCCACTGCCTTCTGCACACTCCACACTGGGAATCACATGCCCCACACTGGAGATTGAGCTGACAACCCAGGCATGTGCCCTGACCAGGAATGGAACTGGGACCTGGTTCATAGGTCAGGTCGATGCTCAACCACTGAGCCATGCCAGCCAGACTAAAGAAGGATTCTTAGCAGAGGAAGTACATTGGGGGTGGAAGCATGAAATGAAGAGCATATCTATAGGCTAATATACAAAGTGTCCCCTTGGGAGCTCAACCAGGAGTTCGAACGCTCCCTATGATGTGCGCTAGCTGCCTCCTGCACATCCCCCACTGGGGAAGCGCGCGCAACCCAGGTACATGCCCTTGACCGGAATCGAACCTGTGACCTTTCAGTCCGCAGGCCGACGCTCTATCCACCGAGCCAAACCGGTTTCGGCTACTTTGTTTCTTTACAACATGGTAAGGTTCATATTTAATTCTGCAACCTTGGTTTCATAAAGAGAAGATAATCCACATTGTCCTGCAGACTGAAGGGTCACGGGTTCAATTCCATCAGGGGCACATGCTTCTATTACATGGTGGGGACAGGTGGGGGAGGCAACCAATCAATGTGTCTCACATTGATGCTTCTGTCTCTCCCCCTTCCTTCCACTTTAAAAAATCAATGGAAAAAATGTCCTTGGGTGAGGATTAACAAAAAAATTTAAAAAAGAAGATGCTCCAGAAGTTTTTTTGTGACTACAATATCACTGAATCTTAGTGCTAAAGAGATGGAACTGGTAAAATGATTTGCCCGAAGTCACTCGGTGCTGGCTTCCTGCTACATCATTAAGGACTCCTGGTATAAGGCTGGAAGACAGAAGGGAGGGAGTGTGTAAACCTATTTGGCTTGATAAAAGGTAAAGAACGATGTTTGATTCTAGTTGCCCCCCAACCAGAACAGTACAGATTCCTTTAAAAGGTACCAATAAATAGGAACACATAGGAATCTTGTGAACTCAATTCAGGGAAGAAACAGCTCCTGTCTCTTTAATTCCTAGCAAAGCTTTATAAATCTGTTTTTTCCTTTCAGCCTGTGGAAGGAGATGGGTCACCAATCCTTCTATTTTCTTTACCTCCCCTACCCCTATTGGACATAGATAATGCCACCTAACTAATTAAACTAGACTTGCCCTCTCTTTCGATGCCAGTTCTCATTATGATAACAGCTGTCAATGAGGCTTCTGCTGACGATACTTCCTTGGGCAGGTCAGCACTGACCCTGACTCCCCATTGCCCCCTTTCTGTCTCCTTTTCATTCTTTTTCCTACCTGTGCTGCTTTTTCTTCTTTCATTGACCTCTCTTACCTGACAGCTTTTATTTCTTTTTCTTTTCTCTTTTCACCTTAAATTTCTTTCTCTTCTGGAGCCTTTAGTCTCCCTTATTGCATCCTCCAAGCCCCACCATTTCATATATGGTTTTCATTGATATTTTTAGAGAAAAAGAATGGGGGGGAGGGGTAGAGAGAGAGGAAGAGACATGTGAGAGAGAAACATCCATTGGTTACCTCCTGCACATGTCCTGACCAGGGATCCAGTTCGCAATCCAGGCATGTGCCCTTGACTGGAAATTGAACCAGCAACCAGCAACCATGGGAATATGCATCAGAAGATGGCCAATCAACTAAGCCACACTGGCCAGGTTGCATTTCTCACTCTTAATCACTTCATTTGGCCATCTTTTTGGAAGGTGAATTAATTCTAACCTGCTGGAATGAGTGTGTAAATAAATGCAGCTTGCCAAACACTATACATGAAATAATCAGTGGATCCAGTTCAAACTGGATGGATAAAGAGAATTACTATTAGGAGTGAGAGACAGCTTCTTTGCTTATTCATTCAGTTAATTTATAAGGATTTATTTTCTTTCAGAGGCCAAGTGTTGAGTAGATACAAAAGTAAATAAATATGACACAATTCTGCCCCCAAGAGTGCAGTCTAGGAAGAGAAAAATGTAAACATTTTTACATGGTGGTAATAAATACTTTGATAGACACAAACAATGGCCTGTAGGTTCCCAGAGGGAAATAACTAACTCAATGCAAAGATGGAGAAGGGTGAGGAAGTGTATAATTCTCTTGAATTCAGCTTTCTTAATAACCACTTTAAAATCCATACAACAAACTAAGGACCAAGACAGTTACTACTTAAGAACCTACACAAGATACACTGAGTCTCCTTTGGCAGATACAGAGATGTGCTGTTCTAGAGGTGTTCCTTCAAGAAAGAAATGGCTACTTCAGCTGTCCTGCTCTTCACCAGCCCCAGGCCAATGACTGAGCCAGGTGGTGGGTGATACAGGGGCTAGTCATTCCCTTGGACGTTGGGACTCAAATGAGCAATTTTTCTCAGGAACTTCCCATCAGGCTGCAGAGACTTTGTCAGGTCTGCATTATAGTCTGACAGTTCTCCCTCCCCAAACTCCCTTCCTGTCCCCCATGTTTTTAAAATCTCTGTTGTTGAAAGTACTACATATGTCCCCTTTCTCCCTCATGGACCCCATCTAGCCTGACCCCTGACCCTGTTTTTGTTTTTCATTTTTAAAAATATTTTTTTATTGATTTCAGGGGGGAAGGGAGAGGGAGAGAATCATTGATAGATGCCTCCTGCACACCCCACACCAGGGATTGAGCCCACAACTCAGGCATGTGCCCTGACTGGGAATCAAACCATGACCTGGTTCATAGGTCGATGCTCAACCACTGAGCCACACCAGCCAGGGTGCCCCCCTCCCCCAATTTTTTCTTAAATATGTATTTATTGATTTCAGAGAGGAAGAGGGAGAAGGAGAAAGGGATAGAAACATCAGTGATAAGATGTCCTGCACCCCTACTGGGGCTTAAGCCTGAAACCCAGGCATGTGCCCTTGACTGGAATTGAACTTGGGACCCTTCAGTCTGCAGGCCGATACTATATCCACTGAGCCAAACCAGCTAGAGCTCCCCCTACCAATATATAATAACTGTTACTCCCCAATAAAACTTTTTTCCCCCAATAAAACTTTTGATCTCCTGTCTCAGCATCTGCTTCTCAGATATTTCAATCTTTGTCACTCCTAAAAAGGCCTAGATTCTACTGACATATTTTCATCTCTCAAACTCCTGTGACTCTGGTTACCATCCCTGGACTTCTCAGCAAACCAAGGAACATCTGTTTCCTGATTCCCAAAACAGACTTCCCTTTCTATGTCCTTCCTTGTCTTTTCTAATGTTTAATTTAATAACAGATTGTCTAACCCCAGTGGACTTATTTTGCTTTTGATCATAAAAACTTAGGTCCGTCAGGTGTAGCTCAGTGGTCACGGTTCGATTCCCAGTCAGGGCTCCAGCTTGATCCCCAGTAGGGGGCCTGCAGGAGGCAGTCGATCAATGATTCTCATCATCAATGTTTCTATCGCTGGCTCTCTCCCTCTCCCTCTCCCTTTCTCTCTGAAATCAATAAAAATATATTTTTTAAAAAACACACAAAGAAACTTAGGGCCTGGCTGGTGTGACTCAGTGGTTGAGCATGTACCCATGCACCAAGGGGTCACTGGTTCAATTCCCCATCAGGGCACATGCTCAGGGTTGTGGGCTCAATCTCCTTTAAGGGGCCGTGCAGGAGGCAGCCCATTGATGTTGATGCTTCTCTCTCATTGATGTTTCCATCTCTCCCTCTCTCTCTCAAAATCAATAAAACATATTTTTAAAAAATAAAATACTTAAGGAAAAAAAAAAAACCTTTGGCCAAAGATCCTTTGGTTAGTGCTGTAGATGTTTCAGTAATTCGTTGCTGTGTAACAAACTGTCCCAAAACTTAGGGTCTTTTTTTTTTTTAATGTTTTATTGATTTTTTACAGAAAGGAAGGGGGAGGGATAGAGAGTTAGAAACATCGATGAGAGAGGAACATCGATCAGCTGCCTCCTGCACAGCCCCTACCGCACAGCATGTACCGCGACCAAGGTACATGCCCTTGACCGGAATCGAACCCAGGACCTTTCAGTCTGCAGGCTGACGCTCTATCCACTGAGCCAAACCAGCCAGGGCAAACTTAGGGTCTTAATAATTATGTGTTTGCTTGTGATTTCATGTGTCTGAGCAGGCCTCAACTAGGATGGCTTGCTTAAGTTTCATGTGCTGAGGGCTGCGCTTACCCAAGCAGCACTGATTTCGGCTGGAGCATCCAAGCTGGCCTTACTTCTGGTCCCTCAGCTGAATGGCTGAAGTGTTGGAGCCTCTTTCATAGATTCATCCTCCAGGGCCTCTTCCCCTTCAAGGTCGTTCAATCTCTAGAACAGCGGTTCTCAACCTGTGGGTCTCGATCCCTTTGGCAGTCGAATGACCCTTTCACAGGGGTCGCCTAAGACCATCCTGCATATCAGATATTTACATTACAATTCATAACAGTAGCAACATTACAGTTATGAAGTAGC